GTTCAGGCCAAGAAGAAAGCAGAAGAAAGGCGCCGAAAAGCCATTCAGTACAAGGGCGAAAAGGCCATTTGGCTTCTTCCAGAATGTAGTATTGAAACATCGGCATGAGCTACACGCCTAGAATTATTAGATCATTTTTTTACATTTTGGGATACATATTCTGATTCGATTGGTCGATACAGAATTTCAGGATTGTCGGGATGTGTTGAGCACGTTGGGGCACGGGGCCCACAATTCTTGAAACTTTGACATGACGTCGCTCCTTCATTCATTTTGTAGTCTTCCCTCCCACTATCCACTGCCTCCCCTCCGTCCACCCCTTCCGACCCTTAGGAAGCGGCCCCCCGCTGACACCCCCCCCCCCCNNAGCTGACCCCCCCCCCCCCCGCGAACGAAGGGGACTTGTCAGGTCGTATCGAAAACTGTATAACTTCGTATTGCAGAGTCGACCGCGTCTGGGGCCGAATTCGTATCGATTTCTGTATCGCGAAATCGTGCAATTTGCACCACGGAAACGGAGCGGCAGTGGAAACCACTGAGGTGACAGCACAGCAGCAGTACGACAAGGATAAGTACTTTGAAAAGAAGTGCAAGAGCAACAAGGGCAACAAAGACATTTGTCGCTTGTTTGCAGATTGTTTGTGTGGTTTTTGGGCATGGGCATTGGTGGGTATAGCCATCGCATTTGCATGCAGACGAGGCTTGAAGAAATGAAAAACGCATGAGGCCAGCCACCACGTACTCCACGACAGCAGATGCGGGTACATTGAAGATTTCAGAATTTGTGGTTTACGCGGGGCGTCCCAGATGGTGTTTCGGAAATTTCGTGCATGTGTAGTTCATTTGCTTTGTTCTGGTGGTGTCCTACACGCATCATGCCAGGATTCTGACTTTCAACACTTGTGATTCATGCGGAGCGTCGCAGATGGCGTTATTGGAATTTCGTGCATTGCGCAACATGGTGCAATGTCTTTGTCCTGGTTATGTACTAAATGCGGGTTTGCAGTAATTGCTTAGTACTGGCATGGACGGTTGCCGGAGCTGGCTGAGATGTTCATTGCGCCGCGTTGAGTTTGGAAGGCTCTGGGTTTGCAGCTATCTTTAGCATGCTGTTCTCGGCCTGCTTTTGGGCTTAAGCTGGGTTGAGCCAAAACAGCCGGGATTCTTTGCTGATCAACAGGAGTTACCTGTTCGATCGTACTGAAGGGGTTACCTTCGGTTCATGGCAGAGCGTGACGATACCCGCCCACCATGTTCGCCACGGCATTCGGGTGCTGGCCACGGCTGCGTGGTTGCAGTTGCTTAGTGATGGAACGAGCGGTTTCCGGAGCCGGCTGAGATGTCGTATTGATTGTCTTCTGTACTTGCTTAGTAGTGGAATCGACGGTTTCCAGAGCCGGTTGAGATGTTCATTGATTGTCAGTACATACTTGCTTAGTACTGGAGTCGACGGTTTCCAAAGCCGGTTGCCAACTACTTGTATTTCCTCTTTTGACGCACCGCCTTGAATCGCAGCGACCAGATGGGGATTCGCAGTTGGTTTCGTGGTTGTTTGCCGTTGAAAATGTGTGGGACATGCGAGTGTCGTCACAGCGTCGCTGCAAACGCGCCCATTTTTCTTCCTTGAAC